TACAGAAATTTGAAAGAGATTTTTTTGGTTAAAGCTTGGTGTCACATAAAAGCAGTTAGGGCCAGGTGTGGTAACTTATGTTAGTAATCCCAGCACTTTGGGAGGCCAAGGCAGGAGGATCACCTGAGGCCAGGAATTTGAGATCAGCCTGGACAACATAGTGAGATCTTGTCCCTATAAAAATTTTTAAAAAAATTAGCCGAGCATAGTGGTGCATGCCTGTAGTCCTAGCTGCTCAGGAGGCTGAGGCAGGAGGATCATATGAGCCCAGGAGTGAGTTCAGGGTTGCAGTGAGCTATGACTGGGCCACTGCACTTCAGCCTGGGTGCCAGAGTGTGACCCTGTCTCAAAAAAAAGCAGTTAGATGCAAAATATTTTATCATAGGAGCCCACTGTAAAACTAAAAAACCTACAAACACAACCTTTGCACAGGGAGCAGATGAGAATGCGCGACCCAGCATGTGATCGGGGAGTATGATTAGACAATTGTGGGGGATCATTTCTGTTCCTTATTCTTTTCTGTATTTGCCCATTTTCTTAAGTGTGGATGAATGTTATAAGAAAAGACGGGTCAATAAATCATCTTTAAAAATAAAAAGAAAGAAAAAATCCACTGCAGAACAACCTGGCAGCACAATCTGACAACCTTGTGGTCCCCGTGTCCAAGTTACAGTAAAATTTGAGGCTCAGAATAAAAGGAATCCCCGCGCCCTTCAGGGACCCAACACTGCTGCCCAGCCCAGGCCCTCACCCTGCCCAGCCCTTACCTTGGTGACCTCCACCCACTGACGGTCGGCGCGTGAATCATGAGTTCCCGGGCACTGAAGCCGTCTTCGTGTCCGGATGAGCTGACAACTACAAATCCAATCTTGTGGGGCATTCTGCACGCTTTGGCTGTTCATAAGAACAGGAAAGAGATCTTTAAAGTGATTTGCAAACATATTGTAACGTTTGAAGTGTTAGTTCACGCCTTCCTAATATACATAGGAATTCATCAAATATTTGTAATTTTTTCATCACTTTGAAAGAGTCTAGTTTTTTTGTTAAACACTTTTTATAAACACTTCTAATTCTATTTAAGATATTGTTTAAATTACATTAACTTTTCCCAGGTATTTGTCCAAAAAGTTTGACCAGTGTTGTGGATTGAATTGTGACCTCCCAGAAGATATGCTGACGTCCTACCTGTGGCATCTGTGAATGTGACCTTATTTGAAAATAGGGTCTTTGCAGTCGTAATCTAGTTCAACTGAGGTCTGGCTAGGGTCCTTACAAGAAAGGGGTCAGAGACACAGACACGCACGGGGAGCACGCCACGTGACCACAAAGGCAGAGACTGGAGCGATGCACCTGCAAGCCAAGGAATGCCCGGGATACCTAAGACCTCCAGAAGCTGGAAGAGGCAGGGAAGGATGCTCCCCTGAGCCTTCAGAGAGAGTGTGGCTCTGCTGTCGCCTGGGTTTCAGACTTCTAGCCTCCAGAACAGATTTATGCTGTTATAAGCCATCGTGGTTGTGATACTTCGTCGTGGCAAAAAAATTTTTTGCTAGTATATAAACAGATTAGGAAACTAGTCCAACCAGTAAGTTAACTAGTTATACAATAACAAGGCAGAAAAGGCAATTTAAACACTGACAGAATAATGATTACTAAATGAAAATGTACAACTAGTAGAAGGAAGAGCAGGAACTATGGACAGATTAAGTATGAAAATGTTCACACAGAGTTGGGCTGAGTGATTTACATATAGGATATATTTAAAAATTAGTTGGATGATTTTTTTTAATGTCATGATTTTTGAGTGAGCCTGACTTTGCTCACAGTTCAATACCATCGTTTTGAAGGTGGATGTTGTGCCTGACACCCATCCTCTCCTCACTTGCAAACAGCATCCCAGTTTTCGGTCGGTGGCCCTCCCCTCCCGACCCTAGCCCTGGTGGGGCTGCCACTCGCCCCGCGCCGTCCCCTCAGTCAGGCAGGGCACATTTGCAGGCTCGGTCAGCCCATGAACTCCGCATCCCTCCACAGTAGCGGGTTCAGGGTGGGAACACGAGTGTGTGAGCCAGCTTTGACTAACGAGACTCACATGCGGGATTTTGCTGGGCCTGCTGGGGAAGAGAAGCTTTCTACCCCCTGGGCCTGCTGGAGGCCACCAGGTGGGGAGGCCACCAGGTGGGGAGGCCACGCGGCACATGCAGCTAACCCAGGGAAGCAGTGCCCACCAAGGCAGAGCCACCCTCTGAGCCCTTAGACTCAGCCACGGTTAAAGCCCAATCTGCTCACGCACCCGGTTACTTTCCATTCACTAAGCCAATCAAATTCCTCCTAAGTAAGCCAATTTGAGTTGGTTCTAAATCATCAGCAGAAAAGAAGACTGCTCACTAAAACAGAGGATAAAGAAGAATCCATCAGAAAGTTCTCTGGGATAAGATATGCTATAAATTGAAATTCTCAACAGGAGGTAACATAAAAACATAACCCCCATGAAACTGCTTATTTTGACATGCTTGATGCATGATCTAGATCTTTCTTTCACTTTCCTTGATACTCGAAGAGGACCACTTCAATAAATTAATTGTTGGCTGGCACTTGCTGATGTTTCTTGGAATGCATGAACAAAAGCGTTAAAATGAGAACGATAAGCCGCTATTAAGAATCTTAGTTATTTCTTACACAAAGTCCACCGCAGGGCGGCACTGTGCAGGAGAGTGACACGTGGACAGCAAGCTGATGAGCATGGATGGGCGTCACATTAGCTCATCACTGGTCGGCTGCCTGCCACACAGCCCCAGCTGCGTCCCGGACACCCCACGCCAGAAACACGCAGCCTCCTGCTCCTCACGCTCTTTGTGACTCACCACTTCTGGGTTGTCTGGGCTTTGGGCCCAAAGTTACTTGTCCCTTGGCCATGACACCTCCCCTGACCACCCCACCCCCCCAACAGCATGCCAAGTCTTGGTGGTCCTACCCTTCTTCTCCATCCCACCATCCTTTTTAGAGTGCTGCCACAACTGTCTGGTGTTTCCCCTGGAGCACTGCCCCTCAGACCCGTCCTGTGCTCCTGCCGGAGGGACATGCCTCAGGCCTGGCTCTGGTCATGACCCAACTCGAGACCCTCTAGGGATTACAGTGTCCACTCTGCTCTGCCCTAATCCAATTTGCTTTTCCAATCCTCACTTTTTGTCTTGAATTCTGAAGTCCGGCCAAACTTAACTAAACCTCAAAGCTAATATCCCCTCTGCTCTGAATTCTGCACTTATCATCTTTACGAGCAGGTGCAACTCCCTATTCCACCTTGAAAATAGCATTTGTTCTCAGGCAGTTGGGTTCCAAACTCTGATCTTAACCAATACACTCTGCTATGGCGCTAAGTCCTAAATATGGGACATTTAAAAGCAAATAGAAAGGTGTTTCCACTCTTCTATGTTGCCCCAATAAATCCAAAACGAGGGCTGGCCTTTCAGAGCCAGGGAGAAGAAATGCACGGGCACTGTAGAGGAAATGTCATTGCCTCAGTTTGACATGCGAAAAGGATTCCCTTTTTAGCCCACCCTCTCCCAAAGATCTTCCACTTTGTACCCAAGGATCTCCGTTGTGCAAACCCTCAAGGGTTCCATGAGATCCTTGGGGTGTCACTGAAGGATGCTACTTCCAGGCTTTACAAAAATTACCATTTGCAATTAGGGAAGGATGGAAGCTCTGCTGAACGCCTAGTTCTCAGCCGCTCTTCCTCACCAGAGAAGTGTGGGATCCGCGCTGTCCGTCGACCCCCACAGAGTGCCCGACTGCGACCTCTCCTAGCAGCAGTTAGCTCTCCTCCCTTACTACACTCCTGGTACTGGCGCGGTAGAAGGTAATTAACTATGAATTAAACTGAAACTCACTGTAGCAACTTCCAAACATTCTGCTACCAGACTAGGAAACAAACTTTGTTTCCAGTGTTCTTAGCAAAATTTAAAATGTTACACAAGTAATCTTAAGGACTGAAAGGGCTTCAGAGAAACCTGAAATTGAAGACGAGAAGGATCAAAATTTAACTTATACCGGGCCAAGGCAACATTCTCCAATCTTTTGATCCGTAGGGCACGTCATTTAAACTGGTCCACTGTGAGTTATGCGTCCAGAATAGGAAAAGTCGGGGCAGGAAAATTCCGTCCGACGCTGAACGCAGGAAACCCACCGGGAGGTGAACCAGCAGAGCGAGGCTCAGCGGCGGCGGTTCGGCGGGGACGCGGCGCCGCGGTGGGCAGGACGCGCCCGTGTCCACGCGGGCAGCCTGGGGAGCACCCGCCAGGGCAGGCAGCCCCGACACCGACCCAAGCTTCTGGGCATCAGAACCCAAGACCGCCTGGTCCGTGGGCGTCAGCAAGTCCGAGGCCCGAACCCCCCGCCGCCCGGGCTTGCAAAGCACGCCCAGCTCCGGACCTCCAGCCGGCCTGGGTCGGGGCGAGCCGCGGGCGCCGGGCGGCCCCCTCCCCGTCAGGCCCGCAACGCCGCCGCCTAGACCGTACCTGCTCAGGGCGGAACGATCCCCCGGCGGAGCCCCCGCGGCGGAGGGCGGCGGCCAGGGCGGGTGCAGCGCCGCCGCGGCCACGGGCAGCCGGCCCGAGCTCTCGGGCTCGGGGGCAGGCGGGCGGGCACCGGACCTCCGCGGCGGCCGCCACTCCCTCCGGCGGAACTCAGGTGGCGCCTCCCCCGCCGCCCCAGGCCGCCCTGCGCCCCCAAGCCGCTGCGGCGGTGGCAGCCGAGGAGCAGCCCCGGCCGCCTCCGCCCATCGCCCGGGCCACTGCCGCCGCTCTCATGACAACCAAGCCCTGCCCGGGGCCGAGAGGCTCCGCGCGTGCGCGACCCCGCCCTGACCCGGCCGCGCCTGCGCACAAAGAGAGGTCTCGCTTCTCCTGCCCCGGGGCAATGCCGTTTCCGGGGCCGCGCCTGCGCACAAGGCGATGCGCGGCTGTGCTTCCGGGGCCTTCTGGGTAATGTAGTTTCCGGGCTCGGCGCCCGGCCGGTGCCAGCTCCGCGAAGCCCGCGGGCGAGACCCGGGTGGCGCGGGCGACGGCTGCCTGAGCGACGGGCGCGCGGGAGCGGCGCCTGCGGGTCCCGGAGGCCTCGAGGACGCTTGCAATGCTCCAGAAAGCCAAGAGCGTGAAGCTGCGGGCCCTGCGCAGCCCGAGGAAGTTCGGCGTGGCGGGCAGGAGCTGCCAGGAGCTGCTGCGCAAGGGGTGCCTGCGCTTCCAGGTGCGCCGGCCGCGGGGCCCGCGAGGCTTGCGGGGCCGGGCGGGTGTGCGCGGCAGGCGGGAGCGCCCGGGAGCCCTCGCCGTCACGTGCCGTCCGCCGGGCGCCGGCCCACCGCGCCTTCTCCCGGTCCCCGCGCGCGGTAGGGGAGGGGGCCTTGCCGGGCGGTCTGGACCCCTCCTTCCCTCCGCTGACCGTGCGGGTCGCCACGGCTCTGCCTGGGCTCAGGGGCCCTGGCGTCAGTGCCCAGCTGGCGGTGCTCCTGGGGACACGGTCACTGCACCTCTGCAGCCTCGCTCAGGTCCCCTCCCTACGACAACGCGGTCTTGCTGGGTGGGCACCAAATCCCTGTGCGGATTTCAGTCTTCTTTCTTATTCCTTATTGTGCTTGTTTTCTTAGACCAGTGCGAGGCTTGCGTGTGTGTGCATGTGTTGGTGGTGGGGGAAAGTTACCAGAAAAATGCCTAAAACCTCAGACAAGGCCTAAAAAGAAAGCCTAAAACTGACCAGTGTAACAACAGGGAACCAGACCTCAGCAAGCCAAGAATGGGTGTGCGAGCCACGCGCGTGCCAACCACGCTTTTGTAGAGGCAGTGAGTCATTTTCAGAGAGAGGCGTGGTGGCAGGCCTGTAGTCTCAGCTACACCGGAGGTTGAGGCAGGAGGATCCCTGAGGCCAGGAGTTCAAGACCAGCCTGGGCAATATAGTAAGACACCCCCCTCAAAAAAAGAAAAAAAAGTCTGTGTAGTGAATGCTGCAAAACAAACAGTCACCACTTGGTTTATATTTTTACATGACTTCATATTTTAGAACAGCCTGCGGTCAGGTGCCCTTGTTTGGATGTGCTGATTCTTGTCTTGGGTATTGGTGTAGCAAACCGGCAGCGTCTGGAGCCAGGCGCTTTGCACAGAGGTCCTGCTTGTCATTTCTGAGGCCTGCAGATGAAAAACCCTGTCTTGCTGCCCAGAGAGTGGCCGCCTGAGACCCTTCCTCCCCTGCCCCCGCAGCTCCCGGTGCGCGGCTCCTGGCTGTGCTTGTATGAGGACGGCACGGAGCTGACCGAAGACTACTTCCCCAGCGTCCCCGACAACGCCGAGCTCCTGCTGCTCACCTCGGGCCAGACCTGGCAGGGCTGTAAGTGGCAAGGGCCTTGGGGGTGGGCGGGAAGCTGGCCCTCTGGGAGGTCCTAGGGGCTTAACCCAGGCCAGTCTGGAAGGGAGGGGTCCTCCCTACTCTACCCTCCGCTCTCAAGGAGGAGCCCTCTGGAGTCAGAGCTGGTCGGGGTCACGTAGATGGCCAGGTCCTTGGTCCTCTTGTCCATGAACGCAGTAGTTCAGTTAGTTGTTTTTTTAAAGAAAATTCTCTTAATTTTGTTTGTGTTCATTTGAGGCCTCCTAGTAACTCCCTAGGGCAAAGGGAGGCCTTGGGGTTGGGGCCCGCACCATTTTGTGGGTAAGGTGGAGGCAGAGAGAGATGTCGCTCGCATCTGCCGGGCTGTGCCTCTTTCTAAAGGGACGGGGTGGTGGCTCCCACGACGCTCAGTTTGTTACCTCCTGGTGTTTACTCAGAGGCTCGCCTCAGGGCTCGTGTTTGGGGCAATTGCTTTGAGAGGTGGTTCTTTAGAGGTCTCTGGACAAAAGCCCCAGGACACAAGTTTTGCCTTCCAGAACAGCTGGATGGCAAGTTCTGTGCTGCTTGTGTGAGTGTCCACGATTCAGAGGTTCCAACCCCTGGGACAGGCTTGACACCATTGTGTGCCCTTCCTGGGAGGGTTGTTTGGTTCTTATGCAAAGGGGGTTATGCTTGGGGAGATGCTTCTGGTGCCCTGGGAAAGACGTGGGAGCTCCTGGGATTGGAGGGATCCTGGCTCCTCTGCCAACGGGGCAGAAAGAGGGAAGCCGAAGCGTAGCGTCTGTGTGGCGGGCGGCCATGGTGTTGGGCATGAGCTGTCAGCAGGAGGGATGATGCACCTGGTGTGTGCTGTGAGGTTGCAAGCCCTCTCTCCACTGGGTCTTGCCTTTCTAGAGGAGGCAGCCAGAAAACATCACAGTGATGCCACCTGAGATGGCCCCTGTGGGAGCTGGGGCCTGGGCAGGAGACCGACGGGGTATTGGGTGCCTTTCGATGTTTCCTTTTCTTTCCCGTTTCGTGGTGCAGTTGAATGAGGGCAGAACAGGGTGCTCTCTCCGTCCCTCCCCACCACCCAGTCTCTTCGTCTGCCTTTGTCGCTTCTCTCTGGTGCTTTGTCCTCCTCTCTCACTGAGAACACCAGTCCTTTTCTTGGTAGCCTTTTAAAAAATATTTTGACTGTTTATTTAGAAACGATGATAGATTCCAGGAAGGTGCAAAGAAAGTCAGGAAGGTCCTGTGTGGCCTTCGCTGATTCCCCCAGAGGTGGCATCTGGCATAACCGTGGTACAGTTTCAAAACTAGGAAGGTGACGCTGGTGCAACATGGGGGTACTGTTCTGTCAGGTATCCCCAGGTAGATTCACGTGACCAGCACCGCAGTCGGGGTACAGACCTCCCCATCCACCAAGTTTTCTCCCTTACGCTGCCCCTCTGTAATCCTGTCCCTGAGATCCATCTAAGTTGTATGTATCAATAGTTTGTTCCTTTTTCTTTTTAAGAGATGGGGCTCTGTCTCTGTCACCCAGGCTGGAGTGCAGTGGTGCGATCACAGCTCACTGCAGTTTCCAACTCCTGGGCTCAAGCAATCCTCCTGCCTCAGCCTCCCCTTTAGCTAGGGCTACAGGGACACACCACCACACCTGGCTAATTTTTAAGTTTTTTGCAAGGATGGGAATTATGTTTCAATAAAGCTATTTTTAAAAAAGGAAGAGACTTCCAAACTTTTTTCCGGAGTGCACCATTTACCTTTCCACCAGCAATGTACAAAAGATCCGGTTTCTCTGCAGCTTCACCGGCCTTTGGCATCGTTACTATTTTTATTTAATCATTCGGTTGGTGTGTGGTGATATGATAGCTCATTGTGGTCTTGATTTGCATTTCCCCAATGGCTGATGGTACGGAGCATCTCTGTGTGCTTATCTGCCATCTGAGGGTGCTTTTGGTGAAATGTTTCTTCGTGTCTTTTGCCCATTTTCTAACTGGATTTTTTTTTTAACTGTTGAGTTTTGAAAGGTTTTCCCCCCCTAATGCACCCAGATATGAGTCCTCTGTCAGATACACAGTTTGCGCATATTTTCTCTTCTTTTGTAGCTTGTCTTTTTTTCCTCTTACCAGTATCTTTCTCAGAGCAAAAGTTTTGAATTTTGATGAAACTCAGTTTGTCAATTATTTTCCTCTATGCTTATGCTTTTGGCGTTAAGTCGAAGAACTTTTCACCAAGCCTTTCGTCCCCAAGATTTCCTCCTGTATTTTTCTGCATCAATTGATATGATCGTGTGACTTTTCTTCTTTAGCCTGTTGATGTGGTGGATCACACTGATTGATTTTTGAACATTGAACCAGCCTTGCATTCCCACTTAGCGTGGCGTTTACGTCTGTTTACCTGTTACTGAGTTCTGTTTGCTAACATTTTGTTGGGGTCCTTGGTAGACTTTCACTTCCTATTAAGAGCTTGCTGGGAGAGCTCACTGCTTTAGGGAGTTGCGAGAAGACTCCGGGAGGGAGCAGGAAAAGTGATTTGCAGGTCTGGAGTAAGGTCTTGAGAGAAGGTGGTTAGGATGCAGATGTGGGCAGAGACTCTTTTCGTGGCCAGGGGTAGCACTTGTCTTCTGCTGAACTGTATGCCTTTCTGTTTGTCCCCTTGTTGGTGGCAGACGTGAGTGACATCGGTCACTTCCTCAGTGTGTTTCACGAGCCGCATGCGGAGATCATCCAGGCTGCCCGGCAGCTGCTGTCCGGCGAGCAGGCCCCGCTGAGGCAGAAGCTGCTGGCCGACCTCCTGCACAACGTCAGCCAGAACATCGTGGCCGAGACCCGGGCCGAGGACCCGCCGTGGTTTGAAGGTGCGTGTGGACGCGGGCTCTGGGCGGCCAGGCTGGCAGGGGAGGGCTTCCTTGCAGCCCGAGGGGCCAGGAGAAGTCGGGTTCTATTTCAGGTCCCAGAGCCCCCCAACACAGGGCTCTCCTGGCTTCGCAGGGGTGGGGATGGGGTTTCTAAACAGGTGCTCCCGGGGAGCCCCCGGGCTCGTGGGAAAGGCGTGCAGCAAGAGCTCACATAGCAGGTCAGAGTCCCGGGCAGCCCTTATGTGGGCCTTTTTAATTATTTTTTTAAAATTGTGGTAAAATAGGTAAAACATAAAATTTACCATTATAACCATTTTTTAGTGCATATTCGGTGACATTAAGCACATTCACGTTGCTGTGAACTGTCACCACCATCCATCTCCAGAACCCTTTTCATCCTCCCATCCTGAAAGGGTCCCCATCAAACACTGACTCCCCATCCTCGCCAGCCCCGGCGACCCCCCTTCCACTTCCTGTCTCTGTGATTTGATGACCTGGAGGCCTCCTGTGGGTGGGTCCTGCAGGGTTTGCCCTTTGCGAGCAGCCGGTTCCACTCAGCACAGGCCCTCAGGTCACCATGTCGTAGCAGGTGTCAGTTCCCTTCCTTGTCCAGGCCAAGTGACACCCGTTGTATGTACCCGCCACATTTCCTATCAATCGACAGTTGGGCTGCTGTGGCCTTTTGGACTGGCCTTTAAGGCGGCTGTCGCCAACCCCGAGAGACTGAAACCCTCTCGGAAAAGGGGCTGAGGGCTAGCCAGGCCGAAGCCCCTCGGTAGCATTTGCGATGCTTCTATAACAAACAAAACCTAGACAGAGACACTGTGCACATCTCTCTCAGAATGCTTCTCAAGACGCAGCAATCTGACCCTCACGTCCTGCCCCGCTTGGCATCTGGGCCGGGCAGGGCACAGACCGAGAGGCCTCTGGCTTGTCCCATGGACTCCGGGGGTTCTCCTCTTTTTCCCCGCAGGCTTGGAGTCCCGATTTAGGAACAAGTCTGGCTATCTGAGGTACAGCTGTGAGAGCCGGATCCGGGGTTACCTGAGAGAGGTAAGCCTGTGTTAGAGCCCGGGCTGCTGGCAGGTTTGGGAAGGCCGGCTCTGCGGGCTCGGGAGGCTCTGGTCCTTGGGATGGCAGGCAGTTGGCAAGGCCACCGCGCCTGCGCCTGTGCGTGTCTGGTCGGCTGCTCTGACGAGCTAAGCCAGCAGACGCACCGTGCACCTGGATGAGCACACGGCGTCGCTGTCTTACTGCCCGGCCTCCTCCTGCGGTTGGTGTGGGGCTTCCATTCTCCCCAGAGCAGGGTGCTCGGGTCCTCCCTGGCCTGGCTGGGATTGGCCAGGGCGATGCTTTCTCCTTCCATCGTGTGTTCCCCTGTTGTATCGCATAGCGCCGGCCTGTGAATATCTTCATGTATCGGGTGGTTCGATTTTGACATGAACTTAACATCTTCTCTCTGTCTGCCGTTCGCTCTGGCGGGTGCTCTCTCCAGCACGCGCACTTACTTTCTGTCGCGTGGTGCAGCGCAGTCCCCTGACCTCTGAGAAGCAATGGAAAGGCCGGGCGGCGTTTGCCGCACTGAATGCTTCTCGGAGGCGCTGGGAGTAATTGCTGGTCTGAGCTCTGACTGTTTAGATAGACCAGCCCTTTCTTTCTCGGGAGACGTCGGACGTGGACAGACGCAGATGTGAGCGTGACGTTACTGGTGGAAACCGCAGTCCACCTTCAGGAAGAAAGGAGTCCTCGGGCCCACGCCCCACTGCGGTCTCTATTCTGCTTCCTTCCAACAGCGAAGTAGACCAGACGACAAACGAGGAGCGGAGTGGAGAGTAGAGAAGGGACCTGCCGCAAACAGCAGGACGAGTGTCCCTGCTCTGGGGGGTGCTTGGGCACGTGGGCCTTGTGCCCCCACCACGTTGGGCTCTGTGCTGTTCCTTCAGATCCTTCTGGACAGGACAAGAGGAGGGACAGGTGTCCCAGCAGCACAAGTGGAGTGGGCGGTGGCCGGGCAAAGCCTGGGGCTCTCCGGTCTGTTTTTTGCAGCGCGCTGCCTTGTGCCCTGTGGGTGGCGGGGAGTTCCGAGGCTGTTTTCTTCCTTCAACTTCCATCCCCCACCCTGATGCTCTGTGCCCTGCTGTGTGTCTAAGTTTTAATTTTTGTGGTGGGAAACTGGACGCTGTGTGCTCCCTGGAGAAGCTGGTGCACGGAAGGTGCTGCAGGCTGTGGTGGTGCAGGCCCTGCCCGGCCCAGCCTGCCTCCGCCTGGGTTCCCACTTGTGGCCTGCGCTGGGGACCCAGGCTGTCACCCGCACCCCACACCGGGAGCTCTCCAGGATGTCAGTCACACACTGCTGTGGCACCACCACCCTGCCGGCATCCTGCGCCTGCCTACCTGTGGCCCCTGCGGGGAGGCTGAGCACAGAGCTGGTGTTGTCACCTGCTCTGGCTCACGGTGCGGGGGATGGGGATGAGTGCCGGGGCAGATGGGAGAGAGGATGCCCAGAGCTCGAGTTCACCATTTGTCCAGCTGTGATCACAGCTGGCAGAGGTCTGCGGGGCCAGGCAGCCATGCTGTAGGTGAGGGTCACCCACTCAACTGTCACCTGGCTCCTTGGTCTGCAAACCCCTCCACCTCCCTCCCCTCCCAGAGGTGCAGCCAGCTCTGCCCCTCATCTGTCTGCCACGTCTGAATGTGGGTTTCCTCTTTACATAGCATGCCACACCACGCCACATCATGTCATGCCACACCATGCCACATCATGCCATGACACATTGTTAGCACGTGGAGGGTGCCATGGAGGCCCCTGGGGGGTGGGGAGCTGCATGTTCTGTCCTGATGTTGCGCCATATGGTTGGCGCCCTGTGCCCATGGCCTATACCACTCTGTGTGGCACACTTGCTAATTTTATGCTGTCTCCTCTTTTTCTGTGTTTCCTCAAGGTCTTGGTGACTGTCCCTGCTCCCCTGAATTTCCTACCCTAGCTCATGGTACTCATCCTAACTAAGTGTAATAGGTGTGGGCCCTTCTGTTCCCACTGCCCGCCTGGCCACAGCGAGACAGCCGCTACCACTGACATCATCTCCTCCAGCTATTACGCAGCCTGATGGGCTGGTGTTGCGGTTCCCTCCAGGTCATGGGCTTGGAGCAATTTCCCAGGGGGTCAGCCGAGCGGGTCTCGACCCTGTGGCCCGAGGGGCAGGGTCTCTGAGGGCTGTAGAGTTGAGGATCAGGGGCCCAGCGTGGGTTTAGGGCATGGTGCGTCAGGTTCGGCGGTGCTTCTTGGTCTTCCAGGTGAACTCCTACGCCTCCATGGTGGGCGCGGAGGCCCAAGAGGAGTATGTGCGGGTCCTGGGCTCCATGTGTGAGAAGCTCAAGTCCGTGCAGTACAACGGCAGCTACTTTGACAGAGGAGCTAAGGCCGGCGGCCGTCTTTGTACACCGGAAGGCTGGTTCTCCTGCCAGGTGAGCTGTGTGTCCTGTATCTTGGGGCCCCCCAGGTAGCCTGGGGGTGCAGCCCTGTTGGGGCAAGGTGGGTGTGGACGTTCAGCCCTTGGCTGCCTGGGCAAAGCCCCGTAGGAGGTGCAGCTCTCACGTTCAAAGTGAGGGCAGGACTGTCTCAGCCAGCGCTTCTCAGACCTCATGCGCCTGGGAGTCCCCGGGGCGCTTGTACTTCTGGGTCCCCAGGACTTCTGTGTCTGTAGGTCTGGGCCGTGTCTTAGGTCAGCTCTGGCTGCCGTAACAGATGACCGTAGCTGGGAGCTTACATAGCAGACATTCATTTCTCTTCGTCCTAGGGGCTGGAAGTCTAAGATTGAGGTGTTAGCAATTTCGGTGTCTGGTGAGGGCCTTCTTCCTGGCGTGTAGAAGGGACCTTCTTTTGTGTCCTCGCACGGAGGGTGATGGGGAGAGCAGACTCTCTTGAGTCTCTTCTCATGAGGGCACTGATTCCACCGGGGGGCCACCCTCCGATCCCAGCACCTCTCAAAGGCCCCACCTCCTAACACCATCACCTTAAGGCTTGGGGTTTGAGCACATGAATTTTGGGGGGACATAAACATTCAGACCATAGCAGTGGGCCTGAGAATCTGCATTTCTGACAAGTGCCTGCCCAGGGACTCCACTTTGAGAGCCGCCAATCTGGGTGGGGAGTGAACAGGCGCAGCATGTGGGGGTGTCATGAGGGTTGAGTTCAGTGTGCGGGAACAGTGGCACCCACTGAGGGGCTCTCAGAGAAGGACGGTTCAGGGCTTCTGAAAACTGATTCTGTTCCCCTGGACGAGCTTTCTAGATGACAGAGAGTTCCTGTATTTCATAATTGTGGCTGCGTGTGGCATTCTGGGCACTAGTTACACTTGACTGCCAGGCAGGGTGGCATCGGCCACACAGGCAGACACCCCCAGGCTCTGGCCAGGTCACAGGAGCACCACCTTGAACAGGTGCCACCACCTCCGGGGGTCCAGGGCCAGTGTCTGGAGGCTGGAAGCAGTGACTCTTTCGGGGACGAGAGGAGGCTGTTCCTGCTGCCTTGGCGGGTTCCCCTTCTGTGCCGTGTTAGGTGTGTCCAGGCTTGAGTGGAGATGGCATCTGGGCCTTTGGTGAGTCTCCAGACCCCGCCCCGGTGTGCAGAGGAACTGGGGGCACCTCCTGCCGTTTACAGCTGCAGTCTCCTCCCCAGTAACATCCCCCATGCAGGCGGCCTTCATGGAGCCACTGAGAGGTTCTGGCAGCAGGGGCTGGGGTGGCAGGTGTGGCCTCTTGTGGCTTCTTATTACTGGAAAAGGCTCTTGGCTGCCACTGATGGGCAGACTCTTGCCATGGGTGGCGGATTCTGACCATAAAAGTCCTTCTCCCCAGTCAGCTTGACATCCAGACTTTCAGATGAGCTCGCTTGGACACTCATTGAGTACCCACCATGCCAGGCACTGTGCGAGGTCACCCCTGGCCTCAAGGAGGTGCCAGCGTCGGGGACGGTGAAAGAGGTGTAAACAGGCAAGGGCAGGGATGCAGCCAGTGTCCTGGGGTGTGGTGGGCCCGTCAGGAGGGGAGCTGGGGAGGAGGCAAAGCTTTGGTGCGGGGTTGGGCGGGGTGGGCCGGTGGGACCAGGTGGGCCCTGGCACAGCAGCGGGAAGCAGCGGGCTCCGTTAGGGAAGCTGCAGGTCTTTGATGCGCTCGGAGTGTGGGCGGTGGGCGGCAGCTGGGAGCACGGGGTGGCAGCTGGGAGTGTGGGCGGCAGCTGGGAGCTGGGCCGGCAGCTGGGAGCCGGGCCACTCGGCTTACCATCCACAGATGTGTACGACGGAACGAGTGTGCCGAGTGACCAGGAATGCTGGCAGCAGGGAAAACGGAAGCAGTGGCCGTGGTGTCCTCAGCAAGGCGGCCCAGCCTCCGTGTCGGGATTGTAGGGAACGTCGGGAAGCCTCGGGAGAGGATAGGACGGGAGCACCGCGGCACACAGGTCCTCGCTCACCACGTGCTGGCCCTGCCCTGGCAAGTCAGCGCCTCCCCGGCCTCCGCTCCCACGAGGTGCGGCTGCTGGTGTGTGATCGCGGGGGGGCGAGGAGCGCTGGAGGTGGCAGGTCTGTCCTAGCGCAGGTGGTGAGGTGCTCAGTGAAACCGCTCATCAGGGACTAGATTCCCCGCGGGGCCTGCGTCTCAGTAAGATCGTCTGACTTGGTGGTGGAGACAGCAGATGGCAGACTCACTTCCTGGCCTCCTCTTGCTCTCTTGGCCCCCAGGGTCCCTTCGACATGGACAGCTGCTCGTCGAGACACTCCATCAACCCCTACAGCAACAGGGAGAGCAGGGTCCTCTTCAGCACCTGGAACCTGGACCACATGTAAGTGCTCTCTCCCAGGAGGGTTCAGGAGCGGCTGTCGCTGAGAACCACGTTCACAGGCCAGAGGAGCGCCTTGCCAGGGTCCCGTCCTGCCTCGGTTACAGCCCAGCCCAGGGAAGGGCCGAGGGGCGGGTGGGTGCGCTGCTCTTTCAGTGCTGCTTGACCTCGAGCTCCCCGTCCCCTCGTTCCCGCCCACGTGGAGCCGCGTCCGCCTTCCCCGAAGCACAGGGCCCAGGCACAGAGGCACCTCGTGCTGGAACCAGGACTCGCCTTGCCAGCGGGCGCTCTTGGCGTGCACGGCTCTCTCGTTGAGCTGGGCCCAGCACCAGCCGCAGCCAGTGGAGAGGTTTTTGTAGCTACTCGAGCTCTGCAGCACTAAAGAAAAGGGCAGGATGGAAAACTTCATTCTTTTAAACTGAGATACTTTCCTTAATCATAACTGTGTCCTCACCCTCGCTTTATAAGACAGAGATCTTCAAATGCTCTTAAAGTGGCTATACAGGTTGCGCATCCCTCATCCGAAATCTGAAACTGCTGAACGTCGACGCGATGGTCCAAGGAAGTGCTCATCGGGGCATCTCTGGTTTTCAGATTTGGGGCGATGAGTCAGTAAGTGTGATACAATGTTCCCAAATCCAAAGAAGTTCCAAACTCAAAACACGTCTAGTTCCAAGCATTTTGGGTCAGGGATGCACAGCCTGTGTTACTTTTTGGAATCAGATTTTTGTAAAAGTCTAAAACATCATAGGTGAATCATCCCTTCTGAGCCAGTCCCTTTCCTTGGCCCTGGGGAAGCAACCGTTCTGGAATCCGCGAGTCGTGTCCCCGCACCTTCACCGCGTGCCGAGCCTCACGCGTATACATGTGGCGTCCTGCTCTGCCCCTCTGCAGCGTGTTCTCACTGCACACTGCTTGGGGTGACGCGTTTGTAGATCTGGTATGTTCGTTTCAACAGGTGCAGAACACTTTATTTTTGAGTAGACTGTAATTTTAACTTTTGTTTCCATGCTGGTAGGCTTTTACATTACTTCTAATTTTTCACTGTTACAAACACCCTGGGATGAACACTCACACGGAAGGAGCCCACATGGTCTGGTTCCACGGTATTTAAAGTGTGGTCACTTTTGGAGCGTCAGCAGCATCTGAGAGTGGGTTAGGAATGCAGGTTCTCAGGCCCCGTCCAGACATTTCCCGGGTGCTGGGGATCCGGGTGTGCACTGCAGCGTGGGAAAGGCCGCCCGAGTGACCGCGAGACGGCCACCTTCCCCTCTCGGTACTGAGAACTCGGGCGAGTCCTCGTCGCTCCACGTTCTTGCCACCGCTTGGTGCCATCGTACGTACTGCGTTTATCCTGTCTGGCAGGTGAGAAACAGATTCTCTTGCTTTCATTTTTGTTTTCCTGATTACCGGGAAGTTTGAGTATCTCTTATATGTTTATTGGCCACTTGTGTCGTCTTAGTCTTCTCGTGTTGCCATAAAGGGCGTCTGGGGCTGGGTAATTTGTAAAGAAAAGAGGTTTGTTTGGCTCACAGTTCTGCGGGCCGCACAAGCAGCGGTGGCACCAGCGTCCCTCTCGGGGAGGGCGCCAGGCTGCTCCCTCTCAGGCGGAAGGCGAGGGGAGCGGGGGTGTGCAGGGCGCGCGGCGAGAGCGCAGGCAGGAGAGACGGGAGGCGCCGGGCTCTTTCCAACCACCAGTTCCCGCGGGATCTAAGTGGGAATGCACTCACTTCGGGGGAATGGCACCTGTCATTCGTGGGGGACCCAAACACCTCCCATCAGGCCCCACCTCCAACACCGGGGCCCAATCTCAACATGGGACTTGGGGGAGGGCAGACAAACCATATCCAAACATAAACATAGCGTATGTCTTCTATGTTGCTTTCATTTGCTCATTTTTTATTGGGCTTTTTGTCTTATTTATTTGTAGAGTTACTTTACATGTTCTGGATACTAATTCCTTGGTGGCTATTTATGTTAGAGATATCTTACACAGTTTTGGCGTGTCTTTAATTCTGTGATCTCTTTCATCATGACAGGTTTTAAATTTCAATATATTCAAATGTATCTTTTCATTTTTGCGTGTTTAGAAATCCTTCCCCAGCCTGTTCAGCCTGAGATGTTCTATTTCGTGCTGTGCTGGTTTGTGGGACCCCTTCTGGCGTGCGGCAGGCACCCAGCTCCTTTCTCCCGGGTGCTCTCGTGCTTTTCCCGACCCTCTAGGGGTGGGGACGTTGGCCTGGGGCACACAGCCGGCATTTTAAAGTGAAACTGGCCGCCCAGCACAGAAAGCAGAAAACAGGTGAAGACAGCAGACCGTGCAGTATGAGCCCAAGTAACGTCTCATGGATGTTTGTTTCAGTGACATTTCTCTGAGTAGATACATTTACACCTGGAGACTTGCATTGGGGGGTGGATCAAGCATTAATTTCTCCTGTCTCCGCAGCTGGGGAGCGCCCTTCTTTCTTCTGATCTCAACTATGTCTTTTTTAAAAAGGTGACTTTTGTTCAGCATTTCTCTGTGTTGTAGGGAGAGGGCCCGTGCCAGTGTAGCCCACGGTAGGCCACAGCCCTGCTGTGGGGTCTCTAACCGCATCTTGTCAGTTCCCAAGCTCCTACACGTGTTGACTGGGCCTGTGAGTGGTTTGCTTGTAAGCGAAACAGCTTGTAAGTGAAACACAAAGCAATATCATATATTTTTTAAAAACAGACGTACAAATATGCAAATAGAAGTATGAAATTGGCGCTGAAAGATACATGTCAAACCCTTAATAGTGATTACCTCTGGGGCGTAAAGGGGAGATGAGATTACGGGTGGCAGGCGAAGGTGACTTCAGCTTTATCTCTACGGGTGTACTTTTAAAATTTTCATTCAATATCGGGTACTTTTTTTTTTAATAAATCTATACGTAGGTAAAATGTGGAAGCCAACAAGTCAGCTGTCAATGGTGGGTCACTACGAGTGATGGGAACATGGTTGACTCCCCCTTTTTTCCCTGTGTATTTTCAGTATTTCGAGCAACGTCCACAAATCAAGCTTTGAAAAACACCACAGCAGAGCTCCCGCGTCAGGCTCTGCTGGACAGACCCGGCCCCGTGCACGGCCGCCTGTCGGGGACGGCGCTTAGGATGGGTCTGGGGGAGCCGTGCCCAGGGCTCCCGAGACAGCTCCCGGAGCTGCTCCTTCCCTGGCCCCCTGGTTCTTTGGGACGGTTCCACACATTGCTCCCTTCTGACGTCTTCATTCTCCACTGGCCTTTTCCTGTAAACAGCCAAATGTTCTGTGCTTAGCTACTGCGACTGAGTCGAAACCGTGCCGTAAGCGTCTCTGTGGTTTGATGGCACTGCGGCGACAGAAAGTGATGATCTCTAACCTTACTTTGCAGAATAGAAAAGAAGCGCACCATTGTCCCCACGCTGGCTGAAGCCATCAAGGAACAAGATGGAAGGGAGATAGACTGGGAGTATTTTTACAGCCTGCTTTTTACCTCTGACAATCTGAAATTAGTGCACATCGCCTGCCATAAGAAAACCACCCACAAGCTCAGCTGCGACCCAGACAGAATCTACAAACCCCGGACAGGGCCGAAGAGGAAGCGGCCCGCTCGCAAGTCCCGGTGACGCTGCGCCCTGTGCTCGGGGAGGCCTCGTGCATGGGCAGAACCTTAACAGGTGCTAATTTTTTTTTTGGTCACTCCAGTAGTTCCTGGAAAAAAACTTAAAAAGTATCTCCTGCAGTTCTGATTTCAGTATATTTCTGCATCTGTTTTCTGTGCCTTTTGAGGGCCCAGCTTCCAGAGGACAGCTTTAGGGTGCTCACAGGACATCTGTGGGTCATACTGGCCGGCAGGGACCAGGAGTTGTCTTTGAGCTCAGGGATCCTTCCGTTTTCTGATGTCACCAGTTTAGTGTGTGCTCACGTGGTATGGGCTCCACGCTACACCGTGTCATGGCTGGACTTGGCCGCCCTGCTTAAGGGACAAGTTGTCTGTGTATCAGCTGTCTCCTTCCACAGCAGACAGACAGCTCCATCCTCTGGACTCTTCTGAGTGCCCCGAAGAGCCGTGCAGCACCTTTGGGTAAAACGTCTGTGCTCCGTCCGGAACACACGAGGACACCACCGCTGGGTTGTCTATGGCGGCAAAGTGCGAACCTCCAAAGTCTGCAGTAGGGCGGCCGCTGGTTGTGGCCTCACACTGAAGCATGTGAAATTGCTGTTTCTCTAGGTTAAAAGTGGTCAGATGTCATTTATTTCATGATCCAACCTAACACATCGACACAATGCAGAACTGTACAGCAGTTCGAGGCGTTCACGAGATGAGCGTCCGTGTGTGGAGAAGGGAAGCTGTTAAGTGCCCCGGCGGCTTAACTGTGTAGAGTATGATCTGTTTGTCTTACAAAGGGCTGGTGTTCGTGTCATCCATGTGTGTCAGTGTGTGCAGGGAACACACCGGACCGTGAACAGCAGTAATCCTGGGGACATAGTGCGGGGAGACTGGGTGACAAAGGACTCATTTTCCAAATCATGGATTTTATAATACTTGAATTTTTTGAAATGAGCATATATTTCTTAACATTAAAAAATGTACTTTTTACAGTCATACATTTGTAATATTTGAACTTTTACATTTATTATAAAATCAAGAAAAGCAATAAAGATTTTTTAAACAGACATGTCGAAAAAGTTTTCACTCATTGAGAATAATGAAAACAAGGATAAAAATAAGAGGTCAGTGATGTTTTAAAAATTGCCCTGGGTTGTTGCATTTTCTTCACTGCAATGCCCAATGCCTTAGAACGAGCCAGTTAGGTGGGGAATGTGTACAAGTCCCACCTCCAGCACATCTGTTGTCTGGTCTGCTCAGGGATGTGTCAACAGTGGGAGAGTCGGGGCCACGGAGCCAGGACGCCTGGTTCCTCTCTCAGATTCCCTTGCACAGGCCGAAGAACTCTCTGGAAGTCAGCGGATCCCATCTGTATGACACCGAGGCTGGACTGGACGGCCTCTGAGGCCCTTCCAGCTCGGTCATTCCAGGTTCAGGGACTGAGCTGTTCCCTTTCCAGGCATGGCGTGCACCTTTCTCGGTGTCTCTGCGTCATGGGCTTTCCTGATGGCAATGCTTCCTTCTCACGTGGCAGTGCCACCTTGCCCTAGACGCACAGGTCTGCTGTCCCTGTACCAGATGGCTCCGAGGTGCCACCCCCCTGCCCACGATGGGGCTGAGACTGTGTCTGTCAGGATTTCTGCCACCTCCTCTGCTGTTGAGTCTTGTCCTGTTTTCCTCCTGACCCTGCCTGACCTGTGGTTTCATTTCTGCAGCAGGTGAGACATCAGGAACCCCAGCTTGTTGGAGCTGTGCACAAACAGTAAACCGTGAACAGGGGTTGCAAGGCTCTCCTGGCTGCGACACAGTTGTTTTGGTCATTGTTTTTTTTTTTTTTGCAGTTTTTATGGTTTTATTTAAACACAAATGAAATGTGCACATGAGCTGTCTATTCATTTCCTTCACTGTGCAGCCTGGGGTTGGGACTGGTGACCCTGGTGGCCAGCTGGGCGGCTGTTTCCACAACGGCTTCGCGGTTCTTGGAGGAAACATGAGCAAACTCTACACAGGAAGATTTGCATATCAGCACTTCCAGCTTCTTGATGTGGTGGGCCAGGCACTTCTGGAATCCACTGGGCAGCCTGTGCTTTGTTGCTCCCATAGCCAGCGCTGGGCATCAAGGTCTGGCCCTTGAATCTTCTCTGAACCCTGTTGTCAATACCTCTGGGTTCCCGCCAGTTACACTTAATTTTGACATATGGGTCTGCTGGTGCCAGATAAACTTCTTGTTTCTCTCTCTCTGATGCTCTTGGGCTTCACAGGGGTCTGAGGGCCGCCATGGTGCTGAACAGGCGCACCGAGGAAGAGAGTGTGGTCATGGTGTTTTGCCTGCTTCCGAGCTCTGAGCTGGGTGAGAATGACTGTTGTGGACGAGAGGTGTCTTCAGTCAGGAGTTATGTCACCCAGACCCTCAGATTCTCTGGGTGGAGTAGGTAGCTGAACCTCTCTGCAAAACAGGAGTTTGTGGTCTATCCATTCTCACACAAAAGGAAGGAGAAAAATTCTGGGAGCTGAAAGCGTGGAGTCTTATGGCCTATGGGCACGAGGGTCACCTCCTCCCAGAGGTCCTGGTGTCAGTACTGTGCTTGGAAAGGAAGAATCCAGTGGGTGGGCCTGCAGGGGGCCTCAACTCTCCCGCGTCTAGCTCCATGCAGACAGCACAGGTGCAGTGAACGCAACCACGCAATCCCTGGGGAGGGAGCACAGCACAGATAGAGCCAGCATCGGCCCTGATGCAGCAGAGGATGAGCCATCAGGTGTCGAGGTGGGGGCCAGGGGAGCTGGTGCTGGAGCCAGCTGCTCGGAGCTGGGGGCTGTGCGGGGCACATCAGGGTCTTAGGAAAAGGCCACCGTGGCTGAAGGGTAGCGAGCAGTAGATGGGGGAATCAATGAGGAGAGAAGCCAGATGAGCTGGGACCAAGGCCGGTACGGAGTGGCTGCACAGGCACACCCTGGAGATGCTGTGGTTCAGGTCCAGATCACAGTGAAGCAAATGTCACAAAAAAGTGAATCACATGAATTTTTTTGTTTCTCAGTGCATGTAAAAGTTATGTTTACACCATAGTCTATTAAGTGTGCAGTAGCACTATTCTAAAAAACCAGTGTCTATACCTTAATTCAAAATATTTTATTGTTAAAAATGCTAACAATCATTGGAGCCTTCAGTGAGACATCATCTTTTTGCTGGGGGAGGGTCTTGCCTTGGCGGTGGCTGCTAACTGGTCAGGGTGGTGATTGCTGAAGGCTGGGGTAGCTGTAGCAATTTCTTAAAATAAGACAACTATGAAGTCTGCCACATTCATTGACTGTTCCTTTCACAAAAGATTTCTCTGTAGCATGCGATGCTCTTTGATAGTTTGACCCACAGTGCCAGGAGTTAGCCACGCTCCCAGCAAAACAGGTCCCAGGGAGGATGGTTGCAAGAGATTTGGAAATAATAGAAATAGAAAAATAACAGAGACAGAGAAATAACCGAGACAGAGACAAAATATAAAGTAATGGAGGAGTCAGGGGTCCTCCAGCATTCCCGTAAGCTGTGAGGCCCTGAGTGAAGTCCCTCATCAGTATTTATTGGTGCAGCAATTAGTCGTAGTGGTTACAGATTTACGTGTAATAGATAATTCGTTTAGGTTTTAAGGCTCCCCAAAAGTTTCTAGAGATCCCTTAATTAACTCTATCTATATGAACAAATGGTTACAAAATTTTTCCAAGATAAACTTCTAAGCCCTAAGTTAAGAATAGACTTAGCTGAGTATACAAGTTAAAGATAAAATTGTCGATTAGCAGAAAAGCTAAACGGAAATATAGAGGCCATATATTTCTTTATCTAGTTTCTTATTAACTGAGACAAGTGGTCAGCAGTGAAGCAGGAACTGTCCTTGAGGCTAATTGGCTTTAGCTGCAGGTGTCCGTTGGCTGGCATTCTTTGATCAGTCCTTAACCTGTGATCCCATGCCGAGCTCTGTCTCACACAAGCATCAGGCACTGGCCTCCAGGTCTTGAGACAGGTGTCACCTTGCCTACACCTCTGACTGGTGAGACACCCTCCTGTGGCGAGGCAGCTTCTGGTCTGTGAACTAACACGTTCACAGATTCCATTCAAGGCAAAGCCCTGCAAAGCTCCTGAAACTTTACATGTCTCCTATCTGCCAACACCATAGAACTTCTTTCAAAATTGGAGTCCATCCTCTCAAACCCTGCTGCTGCTTTATCAGCTAAGCTTATGTAATATTATAAATCCTTTGTTGTCATTTCAAAAGTGTTCACAGCATTTTCACCAGTTGATTCCATCTCAAGAAACCACTTTCTTTGCTCATCTATAAGCAACTCCGCATCTGTTCAAGTTTCATCATGACGTTGCAGCAATTCAGCCCCATCTTCAGGCTCCACTTCTAATTCTATTCTGTTTCCATCATATCTGCAGTGACTTCTCCACTGATGTCTTGAACCGCTCAAAGTCACCCATGAGGGCTGAAATGAGCTTCAAAGTTCCTGTTAATTTTGATATTTTGACCTCCTTCCATGAATTAATGGCATCTAGAATGGTGAATCATTTCCAGGTTATCAATTTACTTTGCCCAGATCCACCAGAGGAATATTATCTATGGCAGTTATGGCCTTATGAAATGTATTTCTTAAATAATAAGACTTGCAAGCTGAAATTACTCCTTACCCCACGGGCTACAGTATGGATGTTGTGTTGGCAGGCATGAAAACAACATTCGTCTCCTTGTATATCTCCATCAGAACTCCTGGGTGACCAGGTGCATTGTCAATAAGGACTCTTTTTCTGAGCAGAAGTTCTCAAAAGTGGGATTAAAATATTCAGTAAACCATGCTGTAAACAGATGTGCTGTCATCCAGGCTTAGTAGTTCCATTTATAGAGCACAGGCAGAGTAGATTTAGCATGATTCTTAAGGGCTCTAGGATTTTCAGAATGGTAAATGACACCGGCTTCAACTTAAAGTCACCAGCTGCATTAGCCCCTAACAAGAGTCACAGCCTGTCCTTTCAAACTTTGAAGCCAGGCATTGACTGCTCCTCTCTAGCTATGAAAGTCCTAGATCATATCTTCCAGTAGAGGCTGTTCGTCTACACTGAAAATCTGCTGTTTAGCGTGGCCACCTTCATCAGAGATCCCAGCTGGGTCTCCTGGCTGCCTTGCTGTAGCTTCTGCGTCAGCACCTGCTGCTTCACCTCGCGCTGTTACAGTATGGAGACGGCTTCTTTCCTTAAACCTCACGAAGCTCTGCTGGCTTCCAACTTTTCTTCTGCAGCGTCCTCACTTCTCTCCGCTTTCACAGAATTGAAGAGAGTTGGGGCCTCGCTCTGGATTAGGTTTGGCTTAAGGGAATGTTGTGGCTGGTTTGATCTTCTATCCAGACTAGTAAGACTTTCTCTGTATCAGCAATAAAGCTGTTTTGCTTTCTTATCATTAGTGTGTTCATGGAGCAGCCCTTTTAATTTCCTTCAAGAACTTTTCCTCTGCATTCACCACTTGGCTATTTGACATAAGAGGCCTGGCCTGGCTGTGACACGCCTTCCTCACTAAGCTTAATCCTTTCTAGCTTTTGATTTAAAGTGAGAGACATATGACTCTTCCTCTCACTAGAACACTTAGAAGCCACTGTAGGGTTATTAAGCAGCCTAATTTCAATACTATCAGGGAATAGGAAGGCCGGGGTGTGGGGAGAGAGACGGGGAATGGCTGGTCAGTGGAGCAGTCAGAACACAACAGCATTTACCTATCAAGTTCACTGTCTTCTATGGGCAGAGTTTGTAGCACCCAAAACAATTACAACAGTGACATCAAGGGTCACAGATCATTGTAACAGATATAATAATGGAAAGTTTGACATATTGTGAGAATTACCAAAATGTGACCCAGAGACACACAGTGAACACACATCCCTGGAAGAATGGCATTGGTAGCCTTGCTTGAGGAGGGCTGCCGCTACCTTCAGTTTGTAAAGCATGCGTCTGCGAAGCAGGATAAAGAGAAAGCAGTAGAAGGAGGCGTGCCTGCAATTCCAAATGGCGGGAAGCCACTGGGGGTCTAGGGAGGGGCCTGACTCATGTCTCAAACCCGTCCCAGTCCAAAGAAAGGCCTGTGCTCAGGCCAGCGTGCCTCCTCCTAGGGGGACCCTGGAGCACTGGGAGTAGCTGCCTGGGGGCGCTTCTGTCTGCCGAGGCCCTGGGCCCCACTGCGTCAGTTTGGTCAGGGTGCCAGCTCCCGAGGTCCTCCCGTGGGTGGGTGGGTGCTCCATGCCTACGTGGCTGACCCCGGTGACACCCAGGACACCGAGGCTTGCCAGAGCTTCCCTGCTGGCTCCTATCCTCTCAGGGAGAATGAAGCGGGTCTCCATGGACTACACCAGGAGGTGCTGTCAGGAAGCTGCGCCCTGGACTCCACCCCGTGCCTCCCTCCCCATCGCTGACATCTGCCTGTACCCTTTGCTGTGATCAACCGTGTTCCAAGTCCTGTGATTTCCCCTGGTGAATCACTGAGCCTGCGGCTGGTCTCGGGGTCCCAGCACAGCACACATAAGGGAGTAGAAAATTACAATTTATTCTGGTTGTCAGTTTTGTAGGAATATGTTTCACAAAGCAAGGAATACTTACGGGATGGGTCTATTAATATTCTTTTATACTGCTCAAGCCCTTGTATGTAATTTTGCAACATTAGAAATTGTTTCTAAAAATTCACGTTTGTAACAGGACCTGGCCTCCTACAGTAGCAAACTGGGTCAGGTGCTCATTTTACCTGCTGGCCGACACCTGGCAGGCATTTGCTGGAGTATTCACAATTAGCGTGATTTAACGATGTATTTTAAAATGTTTTTGAAATCTCATGTTGTCCCCAGGCCTTAATCTACACTTGTTTTGTATTTCTAGCCCTAAAGTCGTGCTGCGAGGGCCCCATTCTGAGGCGCTGTCTTCTGTTGTGCGTGCTCCATCTGTGGGCACACCGTGGGGCCTCTGCTCTTGGTCCCTCCGCTGCCCTGTTTCCAAACACTCCACAAGGCTTTCAAGATGCCACCCTCCTCTGTGCCATTTCTTACACAGGACACCTGTGTTTTCTTGTAACACCTCACTCCCCTTGACAGTGACCTTCAGGGACTTAGATCCACCATCTCTGCCACCTTCTCAACACCTGGAAGATTGCACATGGAGTTTTTGGTACTTAAAAAAATTCTCCAGATTGCTGCATGAAATGATACATCTTCGACTTCAGAAGCCACTGAGGTCATGGGCGCCCAAGGAAAGGGGGGCCCGGCCTCATTTTAAGCTGTGTTGCCAGTTAGAAAGGGAAAAGCAGTGCACGCTGGACCATCAAAGGACTGGTTTTTAAAAAGTCTAGGCAGACGAGGAAGGTGTTTCCACCTGAGAATGTTCATCATTGCGGGTTAAAAACTCCGAGTGAAGAGGGGTAGCCTCAGTTTCCATTTTGCAATTTGTGGGGAAAGTGACACTGCCTTGCTCCCGCAGGGCACCGGTGCAGGACGACGCAGCTCACTGAAGTGGGAACGACAAAGTCCCCACCTGGAGGGCTCCCTCACCACCCAGGCAGGTGCTGTTCTTAACAGTCATTCATGCAGCAACCTCAAGTTGTAAATCATTTTCCCTGGCTATCATAAAGTGACTGTACGAGCAACATTTTCAAATTATAGTTCACGGATCAATAAATCACAAAGTATTCAGAGCAGGTGAAGGTCACGGCTGATGAGGAAATGGTCACGCTGGAAGCAGAGAGTGACTGCCAGGAACATTACTTCCAGGGAGGGTAGTTTTTGAAAAGGGAGCTGAAAAATTCCTCATAGGGCAACTACGTTTTGCTCCCAATTTATCTGTTATGTAAAACACTTCCTGTACTTCAAAGGGCATTTTAACAGAGTTAATCTAGCTGCGGTTATAACTAAACCAGGAATGCTAACAGCCCCCAAACAGGAAGACTCTCTTGCTCACTCATGAAAAGTCCACGGTCCTCCGCATCTCAGGCAGCTTTTTCTCCTTGTCCTTGGTCACCCAGGGACCTAGGCTCCCTCCTCCTGGGTGCCCCGCCTGGCCTCTGCGTGCAGCAGTGGCAGGGAGAGGCAGTGGACGGAGCACCCCCACACGCTCCTCGTCACGCGGTGCTCCTCGATGCGCGTGCGGGCTGCGTCAGTCCCCAGTGGGGCAGCTGCGCCAGGACCTCTGCAGCCCTGAGGCACATGCCTTCCCTGTGACCAGCCTCTGCCACACAAGATAAGGGGCTCTGCTCCAAGGGTCTTTCCTACCTCTCCTGCTGCTTAATGGATCCAAAAGGGGGACCCGCCTTATGAGAGCGTGTAAGACTGAGGACGAGATTCACGTCCTCTGCTTGGCTGGCGCACACCTCAGAAAGGAGCACAATTTTAGGACATAAGACTTCTTCAAAAATATTTTCAAAATATATTTTATTTCTTTCCCATATGTATTTTGCAGAATTTCCAAGAGTAAACATTAGCTTCATATACAGAAATAAGGAGAGTTCTTTAAGAACTGGCATTGAATTAATCACAAGAATGATCAAATTTTGATAATGGAAAATCAACTTGCATATTATCAAAGCTAATGAGCTGAAGAATTGTCCTCACAAAGATCGCGCGGAGCCCCAAGCCCCTCAGCTGACTCGCGCCATTGTCACACACACGGGTACGTAAGAAAGGACACTGCCACAGACGGCGGCTTTGCAATCTCAAAGACTTTAGTTCACAGGTTTTGGTGCTTTGCGCCGATGGCCAGGTTTGCAGGGATTAAGGACACATTCTCTCGGAGACACATTTTCTATAAATCTCGTAACGGGCTGCGCTGTCAGACTGGAACTGCATGGCACACAAGGACATTGTTCCGTGTGTTCTCTACATTTCTGCATCACCATCATCTTCGTCATCGTCATCTTTGGCTCTGAAATGCATTTTTCTGAATTCTCTTCTGCTCATTGAAGGACAAGACGGAGACACCGGCGGCAGGTCCTTAGAGGGGGAGAAAACACGGACTTCAGTCACGAACATCACACGTGGGCACCCGCGATCGCGAGTCACCCCATCGTCAGCCCTGGTCTCGCCCGAGTCCCAGCACTCGTGACGGGAGCTTCCTCCCCACTGGCTTGGCCAGGTGAGGAGGAGGAGGAAAGGTGTGGGTTTGGAACAACGCCTACAGCAGTAGCACCGTGGGCTAGATGTTCCAAACCCACAAATCCGATGGCACAGAAACACATCTGGGCTGTGGGTGGAGACCCCTCCCCACCGGTGGTCTTTCCTAGTGGCTGTGGTTCTCAGCTTGGGAGACGGAGGGAGTGCCCCCAAGCAGCAAATGTTTCATCTCCTCTTGGGTTGAAATCACTAATTTATATTTAATTTTGTGTCCCGGCATTATTTACATGCAGTGAGCTGGGAGTACAGGACTCGAGCGTGCACAGTGCTGCCCGAGTACCTATGCGAGGAGGCAGGAGCCACGCTTACCTGCATGAGTTCCACGTTTCCGAAGAATCGGCTCACTGGCATTGGCTGACTGCTGTCGTCGTCCAGAAACACGCTGTCGTCCATCTGGAGCAGCGGCGCCCGCCCTCCCTCTGTCTCCAGCGCCGACTCTCCCTGCACAGCGGAACCGCTGTTGGGTTCTTCTGCTCCTGGATCGGCGCCAGGTTTGGGCGCGGGCAGGCCGTCTTCCGTCCGTGCTGAGCAGGAGTCACTCACGACTCCGCAGCGGCCCAGCGGGAGACCCGCAGCCTCCGGGCGTGTGGACACGCCGGCCTCACTGCCCGGAAGGAGGGCACCGTCTTCAGCAAACGCATTTTCACAGCGGGTCTCAGGAGTCACTTTTGGCAAAGAAGCACTCTCACTTTTAGTGATGAGTTTCTGTAATTCTGACTTTACAAGATGACCTTTGTCATACTTGAACTTCTTGGACGTGCGCCTGTCTGTGGCTCTGTGTGATGAGGAAGTCTGTCGAGAAAGAAAAGCGTAAGGGAAAACCAGACACAGCCAGCAAAGGAAAAGCCTCCGTCCCCGGGGCTGGTGTTTCTTCTCACATCTGAGCTGATGAAAATGTAACCACAGCTTCAACAGATCTCCCCATTCCGCCACCAAGGGACAGCATCCAAAGTGACGGCTGGGAACGGATCTAGACACACACCCAGCATCACTCCCACACGGCCAGTTTTCCTAGGGGTGTGATGTTTCCTGAGGCTAATTCAGAAGCGTGTATTTACATGTTGCAAAACGACAGTAAAATGACCCAGTTTTCCTCCTTTCCTGTGGGACTGTGAGCTCCGTGACGGCAGGGTCTTTGCTTTTTTATTCACTGAACAGTGCCTGGCACCTAGTAGGTGCTCAGCAAATATTTGTTAAATTGACTGCAAGAGAATTCTGCCAAGCATCTCAACTAGGAGCGAAACACTGCGCCAGGTGCTGGTGTCCGGCCAGGTCTGTCCCCAAGCTGCGGACTGGATGAGGCAGGTCTGTTCTGCGAGCGAGGCCAGGAACTGAGACCGGGGAAAGGACGCTGCTCGCCGTGGAACGGCCAGCGGGAAAAGGCCCCTTTCCCGGCCCAGCTTACCTTTTGCTCAGAGCTGTCAGGGCTGGGGCGGAGCCACGCGCCAGCGTCACCTCACAGACTGCCTGCCGGGCAGGAGGACTGGCAGGGCATGTCCCCGAGCCTGGGTCTCTGAGACACACACCCCCGCTGGGCGAACGCTAGGGAGGCAGCCCCTGACTGGACTGCGCACCTTTCTCTGCAAGAATTACAGCGCCGCCACCTTTCATCTGAAATAGCCCCCCTCTGGCACGTAAGCCACGTTGGATGTTTTTCTAATGCGACATGTCCTGCAGTGACAATTGTGTATATGAGTGGACCCTTGAGTCGGGACCCTGGCGTTGTCCGTGCTAACGAGGCTCACCAGACATGCTGTCTTGGCCGACGCGGAGCCAGCGACTTCCTGGGCGGAGGCCAACCCGGCTGCGGCACAACTTCGGGCTCTCAGGCGCGCTGAAGATCGCACTCCCCCTGTGAGCTTGTTCAGAAAACGCCCCAGGTAAAACATGAACACGCACGTGAAAATTCCCAACTACAGAGAACCCAGACGATCCCCCCACCTTTCACCACCTTCGTGGAGACACCTGTGGCCTGAATGTGCAAAGCAAACAAAACCGCCTGGGCTCACGGTACGGGAGCCACTCCTCCGTGACCTTGGCGCTTGGGACAGTTTGTCCCCTGTATCTCGGACGTTTCTAGGAGCCACTGTGTGTGAGGTAACGGACAGTGTGTCAGCTCCAAAGTGTTCAGAGTAAGCAGCACACACTTTTCCTTCGGCAGTTCTTGTTCCTTTACACGGGGTCACAGTTCCTGACAAAAGGCGGCAAGAAAAGACAAAGCCGACCCCTGCCCCACCCCTTCCCTCAATTACAGTCCGAGCTCTGTCAGAGCAGCGAGCTTCCGTGCCACAAATCCTAACAAACCAGCCCACCTCTACTTCATCCTCAATGCAAAGGAAAGTCTTCCAATAACAAGAAAGGGATTAATTAAGGTCATATACTTTAAAATATCTTTACTAAGGATCAATTTTGGGTTTTCGGAAAAGTGAAAATCGTACAGTTCCTGTGTACCCTTCCCCCAGCTTCCGCTAAGGGTCAACAACACGGTGCGTTTGTCAACACCAAGAAACCAGCATTGGTCCAATACTGTTAACCACGGATTTTATTTGAATGTCATCGGTTTCTCCGTGAATTCCCTTTTCTGTTGCAGAACACCACAGTGCACTTAGAAAACAACACGTTTTAAAGCTCACTTAAAACCTGACAGGTACAAAGGTGAGTAGTGAAGAGAAGGGGTGGGAACATGAGGGGCGCTGCGGGCACAGGTGCACGGCTGTCGTCAGACTGGCCGCAGAGCGGGCTGTCTGGAGGGGACAGACGAGGGGCGCTCTGCCCAGCAGCAGATGAAAGAAATGAAAAAGGACAACAAGCCAGCGTAGAAACCATTGCGGCGGCGTCTCAACCATCCCTGCCGTGCAGCCCCCGTGGCCCCAGAAGCCCTGCAGGCGGCAGCTCCACGTCTCCGTGACACTGTGACACTCAGAGGGCGCATTTTAAAAAGGAGCAAAAAGAAAATGCAGCAAGCCAGGCAAGGGCAGGACGCCCGCCAGCCACACGCGGTACGAACAAGGCACTCACGGGCCCCGTACCTGCCGCCGTGAGCACGCCTGGGCTGGGCTCACCTCTCACAGGAGCAGGGCTCTGCTGAAGGAGCCCTAGCAGCAGCTGGGGCCAGGTACACCGAGGGGACCGAGCCTAGAGAGGTCATATACCCTGCCAAGAGCTGCCATGAACATCTCTCTCGTGGGGACGACTCCTACCGCCCGGTCCTGAACAGGCCCCTGTCCCCGAAATACCAGCACCTGCACAGCAGGGCAGAAACGCTTTGTCCTAGAAGCCACTGACGACGCTCTCCTTCCTCCCAGGTTCCCTACGGGGGTGGAGCTGCCACTCCTGCTGAGTGCTGATGTGCCAGGCACCGTGCTCCGTGCCCAGGCAGCTTTGAAGGGGGAGCATCCCCACCTGCAGGAACTTGTTCGAGGTCACAAAAGTGACATCTGGCTTCGAAGTTCTTGCTGCGTCACCACAGCTCACCCCAGACAGGACCCCCGAAGCTGCCACATGAACTGCCCAGCTGCTCGTGGAGGCGCAGAAGCAGAGCTCGTCACCGGCTCTATGTTCTAACCCGCACGGGCCCTTTGCAGTAGCAGCTGCTCCCCGCGGCCTTCCGTGGGGACCTTCGCGGCAGTGGCTCTGAGATGTCAGGTGCAGCCGGCTCATCAGGTGGGCTCATTAGAACCTAGCCTTTCGCGCCCCTTCTGCAGAGATGAACCCAGGGGGTGGGCGCAGGGCTGGGAGCCGTGGCTGTCACAGGCCTGACCGGCCATCTGCGGTCCACTCGGATTTGCAAGAATCACAACGGGAGTCCCCCGCTGCCTCGGCTTCGTGGTGGCGAGCCTCCTCTGAGGCTCCGGCTCCAAACGTCGAGAGTGCACGACGTTCTTTCTGACTTGCGGAGTCCTTGCTCCTCAGTCACCAACTCGGAATGCTCCCATGTAAAATCCAAAACCAGAAAGACTTTCTCGTCATTAAGATTCTCCTTATTCCAAGTAGACTGTCTAGAAACCGTCATGTCAGAAGCACAAATGTGGCTTCTCAAAAAGGGCTGGAAGAGATGGGCTTCGGCATGACCGTGTGAGGGGCTTCACGGACCCTCCGCCCAAAGTGATGGGCAGCACGGTCCTGCGGCCGACGGCAAAGGAAGAAGCATCTGCTCAAGGACACCTACAAAACTCCGTGAGGGAGGCCAGAGTCTGGTATTTGGGCTCCGTCTGCTGCAGCCAAGGACACAGGGCCCCTCTCCCAGCTCGCTAAAAAGACGGGGCCCACCACCCTTTCCTAGCTCGTGAGGCCGCGGTTCCAGGCGAGGAGAGGAAAGTGGATCCCAGGCTGGTGCCCCTCACCCCCTCCTGCCCGACGAGTGCTCAGCTCCTAAAGGAGTGTCACGTGTTATTCAGAGAGAAACCTGTCACTGTCCCAAGCTACAGAGCCCTGGCTCAGAGGTAGCTCCTAATGTCTTCCCAAAGGCAGCGAGTTCCTTTGCACAGAGTGTGGAGAAATTCCAGTCTAAGGGGGCTCTGGAGAACAGCGGAGGCTGCGGTGAGGTTCCAGCAAAAAATCATGAAGTGTGCAAAGAAACATGAAAGTTGACCCACATGCTGGAATGAAAGCAGGTAGCAGAAGCTGCCTGTGCGAGTGACCAGATGTTGGACTTTTCAGAAAAAGACTTCAAAGTGGCCGTTATAAACAAGGGGAGGAGGGAGGGGGACAGTGAATAAACAAAGAAAGATACGACAATGTTGCACCAAAGAGACTATCAGTAAAGAGACAGAGATTATTAAAAAAAACAAATGAGCATTCTGGAGTTGAAAAGTGCAATACCTGAGACTTAAAGACTCACGGGAAGGGCTCAGTGGTAGATACGGACGGGAAGGAAGAAGCAGCAAAATTGAGGGTAAGTCCACAGACCACGCGGGCTCAGGGACAGAGAAAAAGAATGAAGAAAGATGAAGAGAGCCTCAGAGACGCCATTAAGTGCACCAACACATGTGCAATGGAAACCGCAAAGAAGGGAGAGAGAAAGGAACAGGAAAAATGTTCAGAGAAATGATGGCCGAAAACATCCCAAATTTATTGAAGAACAATAGCCTATACATTCAGGAACTGTAATACACTGAATTCCAAGTAGGATAAATGCAAAGAGGTCCACGAACAGACATATCATTGTAAAAATTCTGAAAGCCAAAGATGAGGACAAAACCTTGAAAGCTTAAAAAGTAAAATGATTCCTTACTTAGAGGAGAACGTCAGTAAATGAACCACTCGCTGACGTTTCAGCAGAAACCAAGGGAGGCCACAGCACTGAGAATATTCAGTGTCCAAGGAAAAAAAAAACAAACCTGTCAACCAAGAAACCTATATGCAGCAAAGCTATCCTTCAAAAATGAAGGCAAAATAAAGACACTTCCAGATTAACAAAATCGAGAGAATCTGTTGCCAGCAGACTCACCTTATAACAAATGCTAAAGGAAGTTAGTTAGGCTGAGAGTGAGTGATCCCAGACAGTAATTCAAAACCGCACAAAAAAACAGAGAGCACCAGAAAGGGTAATTATGTCTACTTCTTAAAAGATAGTTTAAATGCATTAGTTTCTCTTTTCTTAAATGATTTAAAAAGCAATTGTAGGCCGGGTGCAGTGGCTCACGCCTGTAATTCTAGCACTCTGGGAGGCCGAGGTGGGAGGATCGCTTGAGCTCAGGAGACCAGCCTGAGCAAGGAACAAGGCACTCACGGGCCCCGTACCTGCCGCCGTG